CGACGTCGCGCTTGGCACTGATTCCTTCGCGTTTTGACTCAAAACCTCACTTTCAATCGATTCATTCCAGGCGAGGCGAGTGAGGCGAGCGAGCGAGGCGAGAGAGAAAACTATCTTTTGTTTCTTTTTGTCTCTCTCTTCTGTCGTTCTCGTTAGATCGTGATCATGCTGGCGATTTTGCTGATGTTGTCGCTCCTGGGAAGCTTAAGCTTTGCCAATGCTCAGGAATCATCAAGCGGCGGCGATGGTGGCAGTGGGCTCAAGCACAAATTCTACGCGCTCTCGTGCCCCCAGGCAGAGGATATTGCTCGAAGAACGCTCCAACGAAACAGGATGAGCGATCCCACCGCCCCTGCGGCGCTCCTCCGCGTCGTCTTCCATGATTGCCAGGTTGAGGTACGTGATTGCGGTGATCGTGACGATTCTTGAGAGGAAATGAGGGAAAAGAAAGCTCTCGACTTGCTTTTGCAGGGATGCGATGCTTCGATTCTACTCGAGACATCTTCCGCGATGACCGCCGAGACCGTGTCGGAGAAGAATTTCTCCATTCGCCGCTTGGATTACATTCACGACATCAAGGCCGCCATTGAAAAGGAATGCCCCGGCATCGTCTCTTGCGCCGACATCATCGTTATGGCTGCCAGGGACGCCATCGCAATGGTGTGGGGATCTTTTCTTGTTCGATCGATCGATCGATCAGCTTGAGTTGAGGAACTTCTAACACTTTGCTCTTGATCTTGCAGTCTGGTGGTCCACAAATCCCGATCGAAACTGGGCGAAGAGACACTCTCTTCGCCAGTAACTTAAACGCGGACGAAGCGCTGCCCCCTCCAACATTGACCGTGAGTGAGATGCTCGACACTCTCGCGGAAAAAGGCCTTGACATCGAAGAGAGCGTCGCCATCTTAGGTAAGAAAACCATCCCAATCCCATGTCCGCATCGATCGATCATGGATTGGTCGATTTCTTGGCAGGAGCTCACACATTGGGCGTTGGGCACTGCCTGAATTTCATCAATCGCTTCGATCCCCAGGACAATGGCCCCCAGATGTCGCCCTTCTTCTCCACGGCGCTCAGGGTCTTGTGCCAATCACCCCCTTCGATGAGCAATGCCACATTCGCGCCCAACGATCTCACCAATTTCATGTTTGACAACCAGTACTTCCGCGATCTGCAAGGCCAGCGCGGATTGCTCACCGTGGACGCGGAGCTCCCCATCGATCCACGCACCAAGAAGCATGTCGATCTCTTCGCGCTCAATCAGCTCCTCTTCTTCGCCAAATTCAGCGACGCCTTCGTCAAGCTCACCAGCTTCAATGTGCTCACGGGCAGCGATGGTGAGATTCGGAGGGATTGCCGGGCTGTGAATCGAGAGCCCTAGGAGAGCTCTGACCTTGGGGAAGTAAAAGAAGATTTCACGATGAGCGATCACTGTTCGTTCTTTGATGCTCCAGGCGCGTATTTTCCCAGCCTTTATGACGCGTTTGATCGCAGCCGTTGGATTGGCCCTGGGTCCAACGGCTGTGGCTGGCCACAGTTGTTGTGGCTATGGCGACCAGGAGCGCTTAGCGATGGCGCTCGGGCGGGCGCGACGCACCGCCTTCGTGTTCTCTCCAGGTAATCGCGATGCCGCAGCGCATTCTCGAGAATCCGCGAGGATCAGTTCTAGATTCTAAGGCATGGATTGGAGCGGATGATCCAGCTCGGGAAGGTTAGATCGAGCGCAGGAGGAAGAGGAGATGGTTCATTTGTCATGCAAGACGGAGTCGGCCGTGATCACTTGCAAGGCTCACAAGGACGACATCGAGCCGGCCAAGCTCAAGACGTTTAGGTACAAGGATCTCGAGGCTGCCACTGGGGGTTTTGCGCGAGAATTCTTGCTGGGAAAGGGCAGCTATGGCTGGGTCTACAAGGGCTGCCTCAGGGATGGCAAGCTCGTCGCGGTCAAGCGATCGTCCCTGGCCAGGAAGAACAGCCAGGACGATAATCCTCTCGACAACGAGCTGGAAATTCTCTCCAAGATCAGGAGCACGCGGCTCGTCAATCTGGTGGGCTATAGCAGGGACAACAAGGAGACCGTCTTGGTGGTGGATTACATGGCCAATGGAACTCTTCACGACATCCTCCACTGCCGGAACGAGCCACTGAGCTGGAGCATTCGCGTCCAGGTCGCGCTCCAGATCGCCAAGGGATTGAGAGCTCTCCACAGCGCGTCACCTCCAGTGATCCACCGCGATATCAAGTCGTCCAACGTTTTGATCGACGCGGACTGGAACGCTCGGCTAGCGGACTTTGGTCTGGCTCTTCGTGGGCGGATCGAGGACGTGATCAGGCTCTCCACTCCACCGGCGGGGACGATGGGATATCTGGATCCGGGATACGTGAGTCCCGGCCACTTGAGCACCAAGACGGACGTGTTTAGCTTCGGGATCCTCTTGCTGGAGATCATGAGCGGCAGGAACGCGATCGACGTGCAGTACTATCCTCCCAACATCGTCGACTGGGCGCTGCCGCTGATCAAGCAGGGAAAGGGTGCTGCGATCTGCGATCCAAAGTCCAAGCATCCCACCAATGCCGAGGCTCTCAACGAGATGGCTGGAGTTGCTGCTCGCTGCGTCAGGCTCTCGAGCTCTCGGAGACCAACGATGGCCGAGGTTGTCAAGGAGCTGCGGGAGATCAGCAAGAGGATCCAGATGCCCATCTGGAACAGCATCGTCAAGCCGCTCAAGTCGTCGCTGGATCTGGCAGCCGAGGGGTACGATCAGTGGAAGCTCTACAAGCGATCGTCCTTGCTGGAGGTGAAGAGAAAGCTCGAGAGCAAGAAGATTGTGAATAGCAGCAGCGCCAGCAGCAGCAGCGCCGCCAGCCGAGAAGGCAGCAGCTGTTCTTCGCTAGCAATCGGGGATGATCCATGTATGGATCCGATCGTCAAAGCGCCAGGGACGAGGAGAGCAAGAGTGAGGATGATCTACGCGGAGGACAAGCTCAAGCTTGATGTGAACAAGACGTCGAAGAACAGATCAAACGGACCGAAGATGGGCGATTTCCTCCTCGCATAAAACAGCGTACGGAATGATTATTCATAAGAATATTCTCGAGTTTTGTTTCCACATTCATGATCTAAAACCCCTAGGCGCCAATTTTCGACGGCGCGTCCAGCATTGATTCGATCGGCGCTCGCGCGGCGGGCGATGGCAAGAAGGGAGAGGATCCCCTTTCAGGTCGGCGAGGAGGTCGAATGCACGACATTCATGGAAGGGTATCGAGGCTCTTGGTTTCGTGGCAAGGTAAAGGAATGGCGGCGCTGTCTTGCTCGATCTTGAGGCGTCCTTCTCACAGATTTTGGAATGGAAGAGGCCTCCCAGCGGCGCAAGATGCTTGGTGCGATATTTGGACTTCACAGATAGTATGTGGTGTTGTGGTGATTCTTTCCTCGGGCGGATTTCTCACCTCTATATCTTCCCCTCTCACATTTCTCGCTCGAGCAGGAGACTACTCGCACAAGCTCTATCAGCTGGTGCCAAACAAGCGGCCGATGAAGAGGATGATGATCCGGCCAGCGTATCCTCTCATGGTCACTCCGGCCGATCCGAAAGAGGTTTCCAAGCTACATTCTTTCTTCGATCGGGATTGGGCGGTGGGAGATCACGCCGACTACGTGCTGAGCGGCGCGTTTTGGGAGTGTATGGTGATCGAGATGGTGAGCGCCGAAGTTGTGAAGGTGGGAGAGCGTGTGATTCTCTTTCCTGTCCTTTAAGTCGGTTTTGTTTCCTTGTCACACAGATTCGGTGCCCCGATTTTCCGTTTGGAGAGGGAGGAGACTATCAAGTTTGCAAGAATGAGCTGAGACCAGGCTTGCAATGGTCGATGGAGTCTGGCTGGTCCGTCAAGAAAAACACGCTCATGCCTGAGGTTTGTGTGAGCACTTCTTCTTTGTTCATCACCAAACTACGTACGTGCAGCTTCCTCCTCTGGTAAACCTGGAGAGTCCTGCTTTTGCTACTCGACGAGAAGAAAGACACAAGCTTTCTCCTAAAGGTATGGTGGCTTTGCTGTTCTTTTGAGACCTGAAAGCTGGAATGCAGTGGCGAGCATGATCACAGACTCCGGACCTGATGAAAGCTCGACGTCATCTGCTCCATGTGCGGCAGAGAATGAAAATGCAGCAGCTGATCAAGGATTCCTTGACGAGCAAACTACGTCAGATGAGGAGGAGTTGGAAGATATGTCCACGCTAGGAGAAATGGTGGAGAAGGTCAGATTCATGAGGGACGTGCTCGAGTATGGGATGCGAGGCTGTTTAGAGCTCAGATCGCAAGTAGACTGGGAGATAGCTGCTAATCAGTAGGATTACTTACTACTTCGGGGATAGTCGACGACCAGTATCTAACTACAGAAGCACCTTTCTGGACGCAGAAGGAAATGATGCCGGGCTGGGAAAAAAAGAAGCTCCACTCAGAAGCACATCAGGAGCACAGTGGTTCAGATGATGATGACAGGATCAGACAGCAGAAACTTGCTTCAAGCACACTCAGCTCAGCTCAAGTCCAAGTTCGTCATCCTCAGCGCTCGCTTCTCGAGTTCTATGGATGCGTGCAAGCTCTGGTTGATCGCTTCGAGTCTTGTACACTGGCTGTTGCTCTTCAAGATGAGTCACGGGACGCCGCTGCCGCCAGTTCGCTGCTTGGCCGACGGGAGTTTCAACTGCACTGTGTCTGGGACGTATGGGACGTGGCCCGATCGCTCACCATGTAGAGCCGCGCGAGCTTTGTTCCCTGCTTCGGAGGAAGAGCTTGTCACTGCTGTGGCCTTTGGATCTCGGAACAAGATGAAGATGAAAGTTGTAAGTAAATCTTCTCACAGCATGACCAAGCTCGTCTGTCCCGGGGGTGACGAAGGTCTCATCATCAGCACGCAGAAACTCAACCGGATTGTTCAAGTGGATCCATCTACAAAGACCGTCGTTGTAGATTCGGGGGTTCAGCTCCAGGACTTGGTGGACAGCGTTGCTAGATTCGGGCTCTCGCTGCCGCATTCTCCCTACTGGAACGGGCTTTCCATTGGAGGAGTGATAAGCACGGGAGCTCATGGGAGTTCTCTGTTCGGGAAGGGATCTGCAGTTCACGAGTACGTCATCGCCATGAGGCTGATAGTTCCGTCTCCTTCGGCCGAGGAAGGATACGCCAGAGTAATCAACGTAACAAGTGAGGCGATGCTCAACGCTGCAAGAGTATCGCTTGGAGTTTTAGGCGTCGTCTCGCAAGCCACGCTCGCTCTAGAGCCGCTCTTCAAGAGGTCCGTCCGAATCCAGCAGAAAGCCGATGCAAGCCTGGAGGATGAGATTGTAGAGCATGGCAGGATGGCCGAGTTTGGAGACGTTGCCTGGTATCCGTCGCAAAAGACAGCTCTCTTCCGGATTGATAACCGAGTTCCGGTGGACACACCAGGAGAGGGAGTGAACGAGTTTCTTGGTTTCAGGCCCGAAGCAACTGCACTGCTAAGAATGCTGAGGATGTCTGGTAAGTTCTAGTTTCCTTGGTTCAAACAGAGAACACAGAGAACGTTGCTTATCTTGTGCAGAGGAGCTTTACGAAGCCACCAACAATCCGGCCGGTAAATGCACCATGTCCACGCTCCAGGTCGACACTCTAGTCATGGCCGGAATGGGATTCAAGAACCAGCTGCAAAAGTTCACCGGATATCCTGTCATTGGCTTCCAGAACAAAATCCAGACAACCGGTACCTGTGAGAACGTCCTGGATCAACACCACTTCTGTCCGTGGGATCCCCAAGCACACGGCTTGTTCTTCCACCAGACAACCGTTTCCATATCGCTGGACAGGATCAGAGACTTCATTGTGGACGTGAAGAAGCTGCGGGACATGAATCCGAGCGCCTTCTGCGGCGCCGAGCTCTATTATGGCGTGCTGCTGCGATACGTGAGAGGATCCAGGGCCTTCCTGGGAAAATCTGAGGACTCGGTGGACGTCGACATCACTTACTATCGATCCAGGGACGCACACACTCCCAGGCTGAATCAAGACGTCTACGAGGAAATCGAGCAGCTGGCCGTGTTTAAGTACCGTGGTCAGTCGCACTGGGGGAAGAACCGCAACGTTGCTTTCATAGGAGCGGCTGAAAAGTATCCAGGCCTCACCACCTTCTTGCAAGTGAGGCAAAGCCTTGATCCCGAGGGGCTCTTCTCCAGCGAGTGGTCGGACTCCATGCTTGGATTGAGCTCCAGCGGCGTGGCCAATAGCCAGGCAAAGCACTGCGCGCTCGAGGGACTTTGCCTGTGCTCCTCGGACGAGCACTGTGCACCCGAGAAGAAGTACTACTGCCGTCCCGGGAGAGTTTTTGCAAATGCCAGAGTTTGCCGCAAGGGAAGCTAAGCAAGTATGGTTCTTGAAGTTGAAAACATAACTCCTTTTTTGTAGAGATGAGAGTTCTTAGAGACCTCTGGGGTGAGTGTGGGTGGAGTCGAGATCTCACGACATCGATGGAAGGAGTGATCAAGGTATGCATTTGCTCCGGCAACAAAATGGGCTCTTCCAGATCAATCAAGAGGATCGCTGCTGCCTGGAGCACTGGCGAGAGGGTCGGATCGAATAGAGTCAGGAGAGCCGAGCTGGTTACGACGATCGAGCAGTGGGATTTAAGACGGTCCATTTCGCTGCGGTGGCTGCTGGTTTCCACACCAATAAGTTTGTGGCGTCGGTGCTCATCACAATGCACAGCAAATGCCGCAGCGTGGCACTTGCGAGGAGGTGTTTGACGCGATGATCCAGCGCGATCTTGTTGCCTGGAACTCCGTCATCCTGGCTTATGTGGACAATGGCAATTTCTCCTCGGCTTTGAGCCTGTTCGCGAGCATGGACCTTGAAGCCGACGCGTTTACTTATGTCGCAGCGCTCAAGGCTGATTAGCAAGAGAAGTCCATCTCCTCGTGAGTTTGCTCGAGAGAGCCATTGCCATTTCACGAGCGAGTGAAGCAGCGCGGCCTCCATTCGAACTCTTGTGGCCAACGAATCAATCGAGTCAGGTTCTGCTTGGAAAAAGGGATTGCAATCCACAAACATATCAAGCAGCAGGGATTTGAGTCAGGCAGCGTTGTGGTGAGCGCTCTCATGGACATGTACTGCAAATGCCGGAGGTGCTCTCGAGTTGTTCTTTGTGCCAGTATGGGAAACGAAGGCCAGAGGAGCTAGCGCTCTTGAACAAAGGGATCGCCATTCACAAGCCGTCGATCATGGATTTCCTTCAAGCTTAGAGGTGGCGAGCACCGGGGACATGAGGCTAGCGTCCCTGGCTGCTTCAAGCTTTTCTCTTTTAGGCGGGTGGGGGAGATTGGCTCCCTAGATCTACGATTCCGCAACCAGCTCGTGGACCCACAGAAGCGGCAACTCCCATTGGGGCTCAGTGCGCGTGGGAGAAAGGTGGCGGGGGTGTATGGTATTTTCTGAAGTCGATGCGAGTGCTTTGCTATCACGAGCGAGATGAGCCGTGGTCGTCTTGGTGGCTTCACGGCGCCTCCCTTTATATGATGACAGTCAGGCCGATGCACTGTGGATGGGCGGCTGCTGATCGTGAGTGACGCAAGCCGGGACGAGGAACTGTGTGTGCAAGTGTGGGGGATCAGGGACGCGTACTGGAATCCGATTGCGAGACGCTCCACTGTGACTGTGTGCTCGAGGGTGAGTTCGAGAGTGAAATGCAATCTATGCAGGCACAGCAGAAACACGCAGAGGATGGCTGGTTTCTGTGGTGCACCGACGGGGTTGATGCTGTCATCTAAGCAGTTGTTGAGCTATGAATTGAGCTCCATGAGGTGGGGCAGTCGGCAGTGGGATCCAAGTGCTGCTTTTGGAGGTGGAGAGTTTGAAATCCACACACACAACATGGTTTGGGAGGAAGCATGAAGTCTAGGCGGCGTTTTTATTTCTGGTGGCGCTATTGATTCTCACTACATTTTAACAGTCACTCAAATATTTTATCATGTGTTTCATCTTCCACCAGTGACGTCGAGATCTTCGGTCAGAGTGTGAAGCTCGCAGTTCTTCGACCAAATGGAAGAATTGGGGCAAAAGATCGGGGATTTGCAGCTAGCATGCCTTCACGCTCGATCTCTTTAATCGAAAACGATGGAATAGCCTTTGAGAACGCTTCCAAAGCGCGAGATTCTTCGCCAGGCAAGGCATCCTGCAAGAAATGTAAATCGCTGCGCCACGCCTCGAACAAAACAATCGAACCCCACTTCTAGCTTCCGCATCGAAGAACCCTAAAACACTTTGATCTTGCAAGAGCGCTGAAAGATCGATGGAAGGAGCGATCAAGGTTTGTCCTCCAAATCGAGAGTGGCGGGTCATCCGGCAAAGGGAAAAAAGAGCCTGTGGAGCCAAGCCAGGGATTTGGAAAGAGGGACGATGGTATGCGCTGCGGTGGCCGCTGGTTCTCACACCAAACAAGTATGCTCATCACAATGTATGACAAATGCCGTAGCGTGGCACTTGCGAGGGAGATGCTTGCTGCTGCAGAGAGGATGGCAACGCTGCTGGCTTCAAGGTTTTCAGACACCAGGAAGTAATGCTCGGTGAGGAGAATGAGCAGAAGAAAAGCTCCCGCGAGCTTTGTAGCAGCACTCAAGAGCTGCGTTGCTCTGGCTGCAAAGGAAGAAGGCGCAAAGGTTGATGATGGGAAACTAGTGAAGCTCAGGGCTTTGGAGAGAGGCATTTCCATCCACGCGCGAGCGACCTGCAGTGGCTGTGACGCAGATGCCTTTGTCAGCTGCTCCTTGATGGAGATGTACGCCAAGTGTGGAAGAATGGTGGAAGCTCGTGCCGTGTTTGACAAACTCTTGAGGTGTTCTTCCATTCTACCTAGTGTTGTTTTGTGGACTGTGCTGATACAAGGCTATACTGAAAACGGCGAGCCATGCATTGCTCTCGACTTGTTCTCACGCATGAAAGAGGAGAACTATTGTCAGCCCAATCCTCGAACGATTGTCCCTGCGTTGAAGGCCTGCTCGCTCCTGGCAGCCGAAGAAGTTAACGTACTGGATGATACAGTCGAGAGGAAGAAAAGTGTGATCAAGCGACATTCGCTGCGTAAGGGGATGGAAATCCATGCTCAAGCGCTAGAGCAGGGGTTTCATTCGGATATTTTCGTATCAAACACTCTGGTACACATGTATGCCAAGTGTGGGAGCATGGTGGATGCTCGCAGAGTGTTTGACAGGGCACTGGATCGGTCGACCGTGTCGTGGAACATTTTGATGCTTGGATACGTAGAGCACGGAGAAGCTGGCTTGGTTCTCGAGCTGTTTTCATGCATGGAACGATCCGGGGCTGCTCCAAATGCTCTCAGCTTTGTGGCTGCGTTGAAGGCTTGCACTAGTTTGGCGGACGAGGAACAAGGAACCGTGGTGGATGGAGGCAAACTTGTCAAAGTCCGTGCTTTAGAAGATGGCATGGCTGTCCATGCTCAAGCGTTGGAGGCTGGCTACTACAACTCGGACGCGTTCGTCAGCAATGCTCTCATCGATATGTACTGTAATTGTGGGAGAATGGTGGAGGCCAAGAGGGTGTTTGACGAGCTACATCTCCAGCGCACTGTGGTGTCCTGGAACGCACTGATGCTTGGCTACGTTGAAAATGGCGAAGAAGAATCGGCTCTACAAGCGCTGGCGATGATGGAAGGCTGTAATTGCGTGCCAACATCTCGGACTTTCCTTGCTGCTTTGAAGGCTTGCTCGGGGCTCGCAGCAAAAGAAGAAGCAGGAGAGGAATCTGCCAAGCTCGAGAGCTTGGAGAGAGGCATGGCTATTCACTCGAGAGCCGAGAAGCAAGGACTTGGTGTGGACTTGTTCGTAGCGAGCACGCTTGTGGATATGTATTCCAAGTGTGGCAGCATGCTTGATGCCCGCCGGGTTTTCGACCGGATGGAGAAGCACAGCAGTGTGGCGTGGACGGCGCTTATACTGGGGTATACGGAGAAAGGTGACAGTGACTTAGCACTAGAGTTGTTTGCATCCATGCAACAAGAAAACTGTCCACGCGACGCACCGGCCTTTGTTGCGGCTCTCAAGGCGTGCGCTGCTATGGCTGCGAGAGAAGAATCAACTCCAGTGGATCAAAAGCTCGTGAAATCGGTGGCCTTGGAAAAGGTGGCCGAGATTCATCCGCAGGCCATTGCGAGCGGCTTGATCTCCGACCTCTACTTGGCGAGCTCCCTGGTGGACTTGTATGCGAGCTGTGGAAGCATGGAAGATGCCCGCAGTGTCTACGACAAGATGCCTCGACACGATGTAGTGTCGTGGGCTTCTCTGGTTCTCGGTTATGCCGAGAGTGGTCAAGCGGAGCTCGCTTTGGAACTCTTCTTTCGAACGAGAGTTGAAAGGAGTCACGAGTGCGCATCGAATGCCGTGAGCTTTGTAGGTGCTCTCAAGGCCTGTGGAAGTCTAACAGCTCTCGAGACTGGGAAGAGAAGAGTCCATGGTGACTTGTGCAGGAGCGGGCTGGAGCTAGAGAGCACGGTGGTTGCAAACTCTCTCGTAGATTTCTATGGCAAGTGTGCTTGCCTGATCCAGTCGCAGCATATGTTCGATTCCATCGTGAGAAAGGATGCAGCGAGCTGGACTTCACTGTTAGCCGGATACTGTCGGCAAGGCAACGTTTCTCGGGCACTGGAGCTCTTTCACGCGATGCAGCACGAAGATGGCTTGCGTCCAACACCTGTAACATTTACGTGCCTTCTCACGGCTTGCAGCCACGCCGGGCTCGTCGACCAGGGGAAGAAGTTGTTCCAACTCATGTTGTCCAAGTATGGAGTGAGGCCGACTCTCGAGCACTACCACTGCCTGGCGGACTTGCTTGGCAGGGCCAACCGGGTAGCCGAAGCAGTGACGCTACTGGAGACAATGCCATACTCGCCGACTGCTGTGTCGTGGAGGACAATGCTAAGTGCCTGCCGGAAGTGGGACAACATTGAGTTGGGAAAGAGAGCATACGAATCCCTGATGGATTTGAGCGTCAAGGACACAGCAGGCTATTCCCTCATCAGGAACCTGTATGGAAGTACCGCAACAGAAAACCATCAGATCATACCGGATGAGAGTCATGCTTACCAAGCGAAGCTTTTTGATCTTCAAGTACGTAGTGCTTAGCTATCCGATGTCCTCACGAACAATCTCCAGGGGCCGCTTGTGGATCGGTAGTATCCTTGGCCTCGTCTCAAAAGGCTTCTTTTTTATCTTCTTCAAGCGAGGATTCCTCAAGAGCCTCAGAAACCAGCCACGGGGATACGTCTCCGAATTGAGAATGATGTCGCGAGCCACGCCCTCCGGAAGCCGTCTCAACATGTTGCACATCTTTCTTGGCCGCCGTCGCTTCTCAATGCGTGGCGACTCGAGCCATCTGTAAATCTTGCTCTCTCGAGGGGAAAGCTGCTTGTCAGGATTTGGAGACTCGAAGTCGATAGCCAGCAGCTCCGCCTGTGCCACCGGCTTGACGTACTCGGTGTCAAGCCTCTGGTAGAACCTCCGAAAAACTTTCTGTCCGTGAGCAACAGCGTCGATCTCGGTCTCGGAGCGCACTCCCAGCGGATTCATGAGAAGCCACCCATCTTCGTCGTACACGAAAGTGTTGCCTTTGTCCACTTCAGTGATGTAAGTTCCAAGGTGTTTTTCAAGGTACTTCTTGAGATATCCCGCCACAGCCTCGAACTCGGTTTGGAACAAGATCTAGGAAAGAAAAGATGCTCAAAACAAAACGAAGAAAGAAGAAAAGTGGTACCTTTCCACCAGGAGCAAGGCATCGCATAAATCGTTCCACAAGGTCTTTGTTTACCATACGTATTCGATAGTAAATGCTGTAGATGTGAGGATCTGGGCACTGTACACGCATCTCTCAGCCGAGATACATAAAGAGAACAGAAATTACCATGATGGATATAAATTCCAACGGACCAGGATACGTTGCAAGAATAGTGTCGAAGGAGATCGTCGCGTTGCAGCACACAAAATGCCTGGCAACATAAAACATTAGTCTCGAAAATCGTGTGCCTGCTAATCACCAAACCAAGAAAATGAAGAACAGAAGCTTACAAGTTTTTGAGGCCAAGAACTTCTTGAAACCGAGTGGAGATCTCGCTTCTCTACAAGAACAACTCGTTCGTAAAAGGAAATAAAAAACAAAAAATGCTACCTTTGGGCTCTTGTCGAGACCAAGGTAATTGATGTGGGGGTTCCTTTTGGCTAAAAGCATGATCATCTTTCCATCACCTGGTAAAACCTGTTCCTCATTCACAATCGGTTTTACACATTTGAGAACAACATTACCGGATCCTACGTCCACATGTAAAGGCTTCTCAGGATCTTCAAAGGCCATAGAATAGACGGGTGGATAAACAACATCCTGCGCAAAGACGAGTAGTAACTACAAGCAAAAGGAATTTCTCCATACCATATAGTGTGGTCTCTTGATTCTTTGGTGCTTGCATTTGTATACACCAATCTAGAGAGCAGAAGAAGAAGAAGAATTATTTTTCCTTGCAAAGAATGAGAAAGAGTACCTTTCGCCAGCACTCTTTAACATTGAGCTCTTGGAACTGCTGGGAGATGAGATTGTCCACTTGCCTCCGCGTGACGATGCGAGGCGTGAAATTGTCAATGGGGCCCCAGAGGATGGGCACCACCTCGTCGACGTGGGGTGCGAGCTCGCCCAGCGGATCGCAGCGGCCGCGCCAAATCGAAGCGCTCGGGATCCATCGCCAGCCCACATTTCTCTTCCATAGCGGCATTACCCCATTCCTCATAAACCCTAGAATGCTAGGATATTCCCCTTTTCAAAAACAAGACCTAAAACCTTTAGGGTTAAAATTGAGAGAACTTTTGTTGCTGGTTATCAAGTACGAAACCAAGTCCATAGGTTTCTTCCATTTCAATCAGGGCAAAGGTGAAACTATACTGCAAAGGTTTAAATCAGTCCCTGACAAATATTGAGGAGTGTCTGAGGTAATAGTTTCCCACTTACATGACAATGTGATCATAATATAGAGCAGAGTTTTGGGTGAACTGGTTGTGTTGATCATTGGTCAATCGGTAGACTCAAACGTTTTGCTGCCGAAATATTGGCAAGGTGAGATAAAATATTGCGAATGCAGGGTAAGATCTACCTTTCCCACTTAGATGACAATTTAATCTTAATATAAAGAATGAGTTTGAGTGAACTGGGACTGCTGGTCAATGATCAATCCCCAAGGATTAGTATCATAGCTTATTCTCAAACCTCCACATATTGGATATCAACACGAATGGAGCTGCGTCTCTGGTGTCCCGCGCCACCAATGCATCGAATGCAACCTTGCCAACCTCCATGTTGTTCCATTTCTTGCAAGCACCCAGCAAAATCATCCACGAAGCATCATTAACTCTACCATCCAAGCTCTTGACTAATGACAGTGCCTCTTCCAGATGATTTGCTCGGCCAAGCACGTCCACCATGCAGTTGTAGTGTTCCACGCTCGGATTCACCAGTTTTGCCAAGTAGAGTTTTCCCTCCTCGACGAGGCCGGCATGACTACAAGCCGTAAGAACACTGATGAGCGTGATCCCATTCATCTCCAGTCCAGCTTCTAGTTCCATCGCCCTTGCTAGAGTTAGCACCTGGTTTACGTCTCCCAGAGAGCTGTATCCTGCGATCAAAGCACTCCAGGAGACGACATTTGGAGAAACCATACCAAGAAACACCTCTCTAGCCGCAACCATCTCGCCACAGTTTCCGTAGAAGTCCACCAAGGCATTTGCAAACACTTGATCTCGCTCCATTCCAAGCCTGCAAGCTCTGCCGTGAATCCATCTTCCGAGAGATAGAGCGGCCAAAATCCCGCATCCTTTGAGCAGAGCAACATGAGTGAAGGTGTCGGCTTCACAGTCCAATCCTCCAAGTAAGAACAAGTCGAGAGCAATGCCAGGCTCGCCATTTTCCACGTAGCCAAGAAAGAGAGCGTTCCAGGAGACAATGTCACGCTGGATCATCCTGTCAAACACTTCTCTCGCTAGGACCATGCATCCACACTTGCAATATAGGTCCACAAGAGTACTCGCTACAGCCAACTTTGATTCATACCCGAGGTCTCTCACTCTCTTGTGGATCGCAATCCCTCTTTCGAGGAGACAATTGTTTCCTGGCAAGCTTAATCCTTTCTCGCTGGCTAAAGCTCCGCAAGCTTTGAGTACCGAGACACAAGCAAAAGCGTCGGCCTCGCAGTTCATCTCCATAAACAAGTCTATAGCTGCCGCGTTTTCGCCATTCCTCACATAACCTTGGATAAGCAGGCTCGAGGTCCCAGCGTTTTTGTGGATCATCGCCTCAAACACCCGTCTAGCATGCTCCAGGCGCCCACACTTCATGTACATGTTTATCAGAGAGTTTCCTACGTTTAAGTCCGATTCCCATCTCACAGCTGAATGGTGGTGGTCACGGAGTTTCTTGTGAATCTCAATCCCTCTCTCTAGATCTGCCAAGGCTCCGCAAACATTGAGCGCCGCAGCAAAGACGAGAGCGTCCGGCTCACACTTGATGCTTGAGAACAATTCCATAGCTCGCTCCAAACTCCCGCACTTGGAATACAGATCCATGAGAGAAGTCACCACAACCACGTCCGAATCAAAACCACGCTCTCTAATTTGCCTGTGGATCTCTATGCCTTCTCGGAGACAGAGTTGCCTCTCCGACTCTCTCTCCCTTGCTAAACCAGTGTAAGCCTTGAGACCGGCAGCATACGCAAACGCATCAGCGTCACACTCCATTCTCACGAACAACTCTATCCCCATGGAGAAGTCTCCATTCTCGACATAACCCAGGATGATACACGTCCAGCTCTGGACATCTCTGGAAACCATCCCGTCAAAAACCTCCCTTGCAAACCTCATGTCTCCGCATTTGCTATACATGTAAACCAGGGTGCTCGCCACCTTTAAGCTTGAAGCGAATCCATGCTCCACGGCTTGCTTGTGGATGGCGATTCCTTTGTTCAAGAGCACTAGCTTCTCTGAGCCTTCACTTCCCATACTGGCAAGGCCACCGCAAGCTTTGAGCGCCGCAATGCACGTAAAACTATCAGGCTCATAGCATCTCATCGTCATTCTCTCGAAGAACAACTCGAGAGCACTTCCCCAGCTCCGGCATTTGGAGTACATGTCCATGACAGCGCTGGCCACGACGCTGTCTGACTCAAATCCCTGCTGCTTGATATGTTTGTGAATTGCGATCCCTTTTTCCAAGCAAAACTTGACTCGATCGCTTTGGCTGGCCAACCGGACGATCGCCTTGAGTGCTGCAACATAGGTGAAAGAGTCGGGCTGGCAATCCATGCTCTCGAACAAATCCAGAGCTGCCAAGCTCTCGCCACTCTCGACATGCCCCAGGATCAAACACGTCCAAGTCACAACATTTCTGCAAGGAACAAGCTCCTCGAAAACTTGCATCGCTCCCCGTAAGCTCCCACACTTGCAATACATGTCCAACAGAGTGTTGGCCACGAGAACGTTCGATTGGAGGCCTCGCTGCTTCACTCGCTCGTGAATGGCAATGCCTCTCTTGAGCAAACTCTCGCGGAGATGGACTTCTCTTGCTAATCCCGCACAAGCCTTGAGCGCTGCGACATAAGTAAATGCGTCGGCTTCGAAGTCCATGCTCGCGAACAGGCTCAAAGCCGAGGAGAAATTGCCATTGTCCACGTAAGCTAGGATGATGGAGTTCCAGGCAACAAGATCGCGATGAATCATCGCGTCAAACACCTCCCTTGCAAGTGCCACGCTGCGGCATCTGCCGTACATTGTGATGAGCACCGACGCCACAAACTTGTTGGTGTGGAAACCAGCGGCCACCGCAGCGCAATGGACCCTCTTCCCTCTTTCCAAATCCCTGGCCTGGCCGCACTGCTTGATCGCAGCAACCAGCTCGGCTCTCCTGACTCTTGTCAATCTGACCCTCTCCCCAGTGCTCCAGGCAGCAGCGATCCTCTCCACCTGGAGCAGCCCATTTTGTTGCCGGAGCGAATGCATACCTTGATCACTCCTTCCATCGATTTCGTGAGCTCTCGACTCCACCCTCACTCACCCAACATCAAGAGCGCTCGTCTCTACATTCTACAAAAAAGGAGTTAACGTTTTCATTCGCAAAAAGTCTTTCTCCTCGTCCGAGCACAGGCAAAGTCCTTCGAGAGCGCAGCGCCTTGCCTGGCTCTCGGTCCGGACAACGCTGCTAAACAAGACAAGCTTGAGTGACGCATGGATCAGCCAAATTTGTAGCTTCGTCGGATCGATCAGATTTGCTGCGCCACTGTCGAGGTGCTCGTGGACTGCTGCCATGTGCAGGCAATCCGCTGTTTGGTCGCTACACCCAAGTCCATGCTCCCTACAAGAAGGAAGAACAGGATCGGGGAGACCTGAGCTGGTAGTCTCGTGGGATGCAGCCTTAGGGAAGAACTTGGTCTTCTCGGCCGGCGATTCACACGCGATCGCCCACCCGCGCCAGCGCTCATTAGAGGGTTGCCGAGACAAACTGCCAGAGTGGTGGTGACATGGTCGCGGTGCCTGGCCAGAAGCTCCGTCAGGTCCTCGAAGGCGATGAAACAGAAATGCAGCTTGGAGCTCATCCTCCTGAAGGTAGGTGGCGATCTCGCAACACCACGGCCGTTGTCTCCAAGTAGTGCTTGCAAGGGTCAGGGAAGATGCCCCTGGTGTCGAATACCTTCTCATGCTCAACTCTAAAAACGAGCAACTGTCTTGGCTGGTTCTCTGGCTCTAGTGGACTTCGACGATCGAGATCTTCGGTCAGGGTGGTCAAGCTCGCGAGTTCTTGGACCAAATGGAAGAACACGACTCGAGGCGGAGTCCAATTAACAAAAGGAACTTCACTAAAAAAGTTTTTTCGCAATAAATATCACTACTCGGCTCACTAAAAAGCCCTAGACCATTTGGTTGAGGTGTCAAGCTTACAAATCAGAAGTCCAAGGTACGAATCGTGTAGGAATCGACCTTAGAAATCTAGCAATCTACAGAAATCCAACGCCAGGTCCATGCTCCCTGCAAGGACGAATTAGCTTTCACGATCCAGCGTGACAGAGACAGATAGTAACAGCAACTGGAGGAGAGCCGAGGATGTTGTCCACGTCTAGCGAGTGATTTCTTATTGACATTGTACAAAAAAAATTGCGAGAGTGTCGACTCCCCTCCTTGTAGACTCAACTTAAGTTAGCTACTACTAGACAAAGCTCTTTCCTCGACGTGTTGCGAGCAGCTCCAGCAGATCGGGACGGGATCCACATATCCCAGCTCCACAACGGGGGCGCTCTCACCACATCTCTGGCACGAAAACTTGCCACAGTTTCGGCAGTAGCGCTTGAGCTGCGCTACGTCCAAAACATCCTGGCACCACGGGCATGTCTCGGGCTGCACACAAGAAAAAGAGCTGGAGCTTGAGAAACCTGGAAAGAATCAGCATAAAGATGTGAAAGCTTTACCTGGACACTGGAGCCATCGAGAGTTGAGAGCACCCAGGAGGTGACGTGCCCGCCGGCGTCGCCGCTGTAGAGCTGCTTGAGGTCGGGCGAGAGATGCAAGGCCGTCACTGGCTGCGTGTGAGACTTGAGCACCTTGTGGAGTACGAGGTGATACTCGGGTGTTCCACCCGTGAAGCACACATTCCTGGGAGGTGGTACTCCTCTCGACCGCCGGGAAGGCCCTTGTGCAAAGATCGCGTAGTCGATCCTCCACAGCTTGATGGCACCGTTCTGGTGGCCGGTCACGTACCACCCGGTTTCCATCCAGTCGGACAGCACCGGGCTTGTGATGGAAACGATGGCCTCGGAAGCGAGGCGAGAGACGTTGAGAGCTGCTAGGCAGTCGCCATTGACACTCCACACCACCAGCATCGTCCCTGCTGCTGTGACAATCTCCCCGGTCATCTCGTTTGTATGAACCGCTGACGCTGGTGCTGGAAGCTGTGGGAGCTGCCTCACGAACTCCAGGGTGCTGAGATCCCAGAAGATGACTGTGCAGTCGCTGGAGCCGGTCACCACCAGGTTGTAAGGTTGGCAGACGGACAGGCAAGTGACACTGTCGCTGTGAGCACAGAGAGCTCTCTGGAGGTGAAGCCTGCGTTGGTTACGAACACCATCCTTTCGGAGACGCCACACGGAAGCGACGCCATCTTCTCCTCCTGTCACGAGAGTGCGTCCGTCCCTGCTGAAGCCGGCGCACACAATGGTGCCGTCGTGAAGTCCCTCGTGAGTTGACAGGAGTCTGTCCTGGTCGTATGAAACAAAGCGCAAGCTGTTGTCCGGGAAGCCCCACGCGATATACTTGCTGTATGATCGTGGCTTCAGCAACCTGTTGTGACCAACCGAGAAGACTTTGTCGTGAGACACAACGATCTGGGCGATGGAGGTTGTTGCGTTGCGGATCTCCTGCGGGGCCAGAAGTTGAGAGCTTCGCAGAACGTGGCCAAACGGAACTTTCTGCTGGCACTTTCTGCCCGGATGAGGCTTGAGGAAGAGTTGCCGGGGTGTTTGTCCGAAATGGTTGATCTGAGCCAGTGTCGAAGCCTTCAGGGCCGGATCCCGGACCGAGTCTATATCTACAGCTCCCTCGTACGTCAGGTAGTAAAACACGTTGGTGGCGTCCACAGCAGCCTGCATTTCGAGAAATCAGCCGCATAAACAAAGACTCGTAACTCTCATACCTGTCCTCTTTGCCGATATCCAAAAATGAGATCTATCCAATGATGTAAGTTCTCTGAAACGTACTGAGATTCCAGCGCCTCACGATGCTTGCGAATAAACTCGCGTGCACTTCCTTTGGCCCAGGGTGGAAGGACAACGTCGTCAACCTGCTCAATTGCTTATTAGAAATGTTAGAAGGTGCAAGAGAAACGCGTACTTTTTCTCCAGACTGTTTGGTGCCTAGATCCAGGTCGAACTTATTCTCCAAAAACTCAGGCAAGTAGAAAAACTCCGGGACCAACTCTTTCACATCCGCCGTGTTTCCTTGGCTGGCACTCAGCCAAGTATCGCGAATGTTTGTAAAGAGTCGATCTGCGTGGTCGAACTGACCACCTTGGAGCTTGAGGTTCTCTTGGCTGAACGGAGGCAAACGGATTAGATAAAACAAAACTGTACCAGCGCTTGAGTAGTGAGAACCATAGTGAAACTTCGGTATTTCCGGATCATCCCAATTATCGTACCTGATCGAAAGAAAATTCGTGAGCACAAATGCAATGAGTATAGTACACAATGTACCTCTTTCGGAACACATCCTCACGTTCCAGAGATAGTGCTCCCATTGGCTTGTCAAGACGACGATAAACAGTCGGATTAGAGAGGTTCAGCTCCTCGCTTTCATAGTCAGCAAGCACCCATGGAAAGACTGGATACTGCGTGAGATCGTTGTAACCCCGACCAGCTAGCGTATTCAAGTGCATGAGGTACTGAAAGTTGCTTATCTCGCCATTCTGCCAGCGTTTGCTAAAGGACTTGGCCATTGTCTTGAAAAGCCGGCCTCCTTCATTGCTGTCTAGCTTGGACACTCCAGAGATTGCCGTTTCAAGCCTGTTTGTCACAATGACAAAAGCAATTAGCTAGCGAAAGGAGGAGTCAAAACTCAAGTACCTGCTGCTACGAGGTAAGTTGATGGACAAAAGGTTCTTAAACACCTCATCTCGCTCTTCCTTGTGGAACACCAAGAGATCATTGCAGCCATCCATGCTGAACAGCTCGATAGCAACGGGTCGTAGCTGATACCAACGCTTGAGAAGCTCGTGCACACTGTCGAGTTTCCACATCCGCCACGAGTGTGGCATTTGTCGTCCCGACGAGAGTTTTTCCTTCCCCCAAGCACCTCCACTGCAAGCCCAAGCCTTCCCTCCCGGCCATGTGTTCTCGGTGTCCGACCAAGTCGCGGTCTGCGTAGACTCGAAGACGACCGAGATGCTTGTCTTCACTCCCAGTGCTTGATCGATTACCGAAAGCTCGCCCTCACCACCTTTCTCACATATCCGGCCGGCACTGTCGATGAAGTAGTTCTCGATGATGTACAAACACCTCTCCCCGATGAGAAAGATTCCATCATGCTTATCCAGCCCCGCAACACGCTCGCAGTTGTAACGGAACCTGATCTTCTCGCCACGCTCCAGGTAGGGAGCTATCAAATACTCTCCGTCGTCCTGGAAGTCTTGGTCGTCTGCGTCGTCCAGCTGAAAGTCGCCGGTTTTAGTTGGCGAAGAGCCCGGAGCAGTCCCATGAGCGTCCGACTTACTTCTCTGGATTGATTCCGGGCTCTTCCCGCTGTCGTTGATGGCGCTTCTGCTGCGTTCGATGGTCCCGTCACCTCTGGTCGACAAGGAATTTGCATCGTCTTCCCGTCCTTTGGACTCGGTGTCCTCTTCGTCAAAGGACTCGAGGTAGTCCTTGGCAGCATTCTTCTTAGGACTGTCGACGCCCAAGGAAAAGATGTGGAAGAAGGAGTCGTAGTCCGGATTCTCTATGTCCACAGCGAACCCGGCCTGACCATTGGGAAGTACTTCCGCTTCAGCTTCTTCAGGTGCGTGAGCAGCAATGTCAATCTTCGGCTTGCAACGTACGAGCTTCTTCCGCATGCGATACGGGCCCTCGGTAGAGCAGAGTTGCCACTCGTTGTCACTCTCAGCTACAGACTTGACAACGGGCCACAGCCCGCGCTCGTGCATGAGCTGTTGGATATGATCCTGCCACTCATTCTCGGCGTGTATCACCCAACCATATTTCACCTGTCTCATCAGCCGGAGCTCCGCCGATAGAGAGTCTCTCACCATGTCGAGAGCAACTCTGCGCTCCAGCATCTGTTCCCAGTGGCGGCCGTCCGCCTTGCTAGCATCTTTCATCCTCCTCCCCATCTCTCTCTTCCGCCTCACCTCGAAGTTTTTGAGACGTGAAGAGTTGAATCGAGCCGCGCCACCTATAAACTGCATCCATGCAAGCGAGGCACGTTGCTCCAGCACCCGTCCAATGGCATCGTGAGCGTCGTCA